TCAGGAGAGCGCGGGCCGGGCCGGGGCGGGGCAGGAGGAGGTCGCTCTCCGGCATCTGCCCGCTCCTGGGCTGTCGACCAGGAGGCAGCGGTCCGGGCGGCAGGGCTCAGTTCACGGTGGGCACCTGGCTGTGGTGCAGGCTGAACTCCTTGGCCTTGAGGCGGAGGCTGGCGATGCTGTTGGCCATGTTGACCCCCGGGGCGGCGGGGCTCGAGCCTCCGGGGCTGTAGGGCGGCACTGTGCTGGGGGCGACAGAAGACCCAGGACGTACGTGGTGTGGCTGTCAGTCCTGGCCCCAGCCCTGGCCCTCCTGCCGCCCCTCCGTGCTCTCCTGGGAAGCCCTCCCCTAGGGGTGGGGTGACGGTGGGGTGACGGGCAGCAGAAGCACCCATGGCCAGCCCTGGGGCACGGAGCCACCGTGGGGATTTGTGGGAATTTCTCGCTGGACCAGGAGCTTCCTGAGAGCAAGGCCTGGGTCCCGTCCATCCTGGCGTGTGCACGGGGCCAGGCGTGTGCCTGGGGCCGGGCGTGTGCATGGGGCTGGGTGTGTGCATGGGGCTGGGTGTGTGCATGGGGCCTGGTGCATGCACAGGGCCTGTGCGCAGAGGACGGGGGTGGGTGAGCACACGCCTGGGTTAGGAGGCCTCTCAGTGAGTAAGGACGGGCAGGGAGGCAGCTGGGAGACGGGCCCGGCATCGCTAGGACCTCACTACGCACCACCAGGACTGCGACGCCACTAGCTGACCTGCTGGGTCTCACCTTCAACAAGACCAAGGCTCCGGCAGAGCTGCTCACAGACTAAGGGGCGGATGGCGCCCCCTGAGTTGTGGGGAACAAACCCAGCTCCCCAGCCCCCCTCCCTCTTCCGTCTCTCTGCCACCTCAGAGCCTTTTCTAGCTGTGACCAGGGGAGAACTGCCCCAGAACTTGGCCCTGGACCCCAGCCAGGCCCCAGGACAGGGAGGCCATTGCCCCAGCCCTCCAGCCTCTGTTTCTGGCCGGGAGGGTGGGCACAGGGTGTGGGGCTCTTGCACCTCGAAATCCCGCGGGGTTCCAGCTGCCTGAGAGCCACGCGGGTTCTTCCTTCCCCTCCAGACAGGCCTCATCGTCTCTCCCTTCTGCACATCCGTGTGCACATGCATGCACATGCACACTCCTGTGCACTCACAGCCATGCACACACACTGATGTGGAAACGCACACGCTCATGTGCATACATGCTCACACTCATGCAACACACGCGTACTCCTACCACACCCACGCGTGCACACACACTGATGTGGAAACGCACACGCTCATGTGCACACATGCTCACACTCATGCAACACACGCGTACTCCTACAACACCCACACGTGCACACTCGAGAGCACACGTCACACACTTGCCCACTGACCACTTGGTGGGTCCCGGTGCCAGGGGATGCTGGAAGGAGCCTGGGCCCTACCACACCCTGGGGACCCCTGGCCACGCCCCTCCTGGCCGGAAGGGGGCTGGCCCTCACCTGTAGGGGGAGGAGGCTGTCCAGGAGAGATAGTCTGGGTTCAGGGCGGTGGGCCGGGGAGCCACGGGCTGCTCGATGGCGGCCTCCTGGCTGTAGGACTTGAGCAGCGAGGCGGAGCGGTTGGCCAGCATGGCCCGCTCGTTCCGGCGGAACTTGGCCCGGCGGTTCTGAAACCAGACCTGGGGGGAGGAGAGAGAGGGGAGCAGGGTGCGGCGGCTGTGAAGGGGACCCAGGTCCCTTTGGACCCAGCGTGGGCCTGCTCTGCTACCAACCCTGGACTGGCAGCTTCCCCTCTCCGAGCCTCAGTTTTCTCATCTGTAACATGGGGGTGCGGGGTGATCCCTGCTGCTGGCTGAGTGTGTGTTGGAGAATGGGCAGGCGAATGAATGGACGATGAATAAATGAGCACCTGGCTGTTGTGAAGTTATCATGAGTGCTGCAGGCTAAGCGCTCAGCTCCGAGGTGGCACAGCATGAACACTTAACACGTTAAAACGACTTTATCAAACCCCTTTGTGGCAGGCACTGCTCGAAGCACTTTACAAATATAGTAACCCCTTTAATTCTCAGGAGAACCCTATAAAATACGCCCACACGATCCTCCTTTTACAGGGAGGCACCGAAGGCACAGAGAGGTTGAGCAACTTGCTCCAGGTCACACAGCCAGTGAGTGGCAGGGCTCGGATTTGAACCTCAGCCCTCCCGGCCTCAGATGTTTCTGCTCTCAAACACCTCATCTCGGCAGCTCCCTACCCCTGAGTGGGCGGGGGCTGGGCGGCCCCAGGGTGGCCCGGATGGCGGATGGCGGCGCTCAC